GGTATCGGTGCACCGTGTGCCATCGCACCGTTTTTCGTCTCGCTGGAAAAGAGCTCGCAGACATCATGCTGGCGTCCGAGGATGGTGAACTTCATACATCGTGTTGTCTTCATACGTCCCCGCTCCCTGGATGCCACCCACCCCCAGGCTGGTGCCAGCCCAGCTCTCAGCCTGCTCCGTCATTAAAATGGCCTGAGAGGCCACTGGTCCCTCACTGAAGGGCAACCAGCCGGCTGTGCACAACCCTGCTTGCTCCCAGCAGCCAGACCTCCCCATGCTCCCGCATCACAGAACCTCTTGCCTCGCACGCCCCACTGCGCTGAACAACCCAAATGGAGAGATAGAAAAGACCCTCCCACCCCTTGATTTTCCCAGAAGGTTTTCCTCTGTGCGCAACAAGATTTAAATGCAAAATGAAGAGCTTTTATGTGAGGTAAGTAACAAAATCTGTTTCAGAGTCCAGCAATTAGTGCTGTTGCTGTTGAAGCTAAGACAATAAATCCTCTCAGCTGAAACAGGAATGGCTGGGAGGATAGGTCATGTCGTCGGAGCTGGAGCCTGCTTTCTTTTACCTCGACTGTCACTGCTATTTTCCCTCCCTCGAGTCCAAATACCGAGTGTACTCTTGCTCCAGCAGGAGCAATACCCCCCACCACCATGGAAGAGTGTTGCCAACACACAGGAAAGAGCAAGAGAAGCATTTTGGTCTCCCATCCTTTCCCACTAAATCCCCACCTGCCAAAAGACAGTGGAGGCCCCCTCTTGTGGGGCTGCAATCTTCTGCTGCTGAAGGTTTTGGGCTTCTCATCCCGCGCGAGCAGCAGTTGGGCAGTGCAACACAGCCTCTGCTCCACTTGCCAAAGCAATAGCCAGAAGGGTTTAAATGCATGCACAGCTGTAAATAAAAGTAAACCAATGCCAAAACCAGCTCTGAAATTTTAGAAACATAATACACTGAAAAAGTCACCTTTATTCCTTAAAAGTCTCTCAAGTTGTTCAAAAGCCATTTTTAAATTTAACAGAGATATTGATCCATTTTTTAAATGCCTTCAGTCTCCTCCTGATAAGCAAACCTATTTAATTTCCTTGCAGAAGAGCTGCCAGAAAGGACCAGGAAGGCTTGGTCAGCCCACGCCACGTAGATGAACTTGCATTGGGCTCTCCGCTGAGGTTGCTACCCAGCTGCTGGCTGCCGTGGCACAGTCCCTTCATCGCCATAGCGCAACTGCGTTTTAATAATTACCGTCATATTAGAGCACCAGCCTCCCCCCCGCGGCTTCCTGCCCCTGTTAGCACCCCTCGGCCACGAGCTGTGGGGCTGCTCCTGATCGCCACAAACTCCCAGTGAAACATCCCTGTTTCAGCAGCAGCCCCCTGGCCCTTGGGAAATGGGGTGTGAGGGGGGAAAGCATCCACACCCCCTCAGCCCACTGCGCTCCTCATCCGCCCCGGGTCGGAGAGCGCAAGTTTCACTGGACCCCAAAGGATGGAGATGCCTGGGCTGCTTCCTCAGCCAAATTTCCTCCCATAGCTCTGAAACGTGACAAACTCTCCTCTTCTCCGTGGTGGGAAGAGCGAGAGACGGCAGGAGAAACACGGTCCGACCAGACCCACAAGCACGAGGCGACAGCGGTGCTCGTCCCCTGCAAGCACAAGGGCTGCAGCAGGGCTGGCGCGGGGGACACCCCGGCCGCCGGCAGCACCCCTCCTTCCTGGCACGGGACCCCAGGGCGACAGCCGCAGTCTGCTGCGCTCCCGCCTCTCCCGGCCCCCACAACAGAGCCAGCAGCACTTCCCGGGAGTTGCTATGGCAAACACTGGATGCTGCCATCGCAGCTCGGTTTGGGATCAGTTTTTGCCGAGAAACACACTCATCAAAGCATTTTTTTGTCATGCTGGCTAGCTGTCGACAAGAATTTTCCTTAAAATAAGATTTAAAAAAAAAAAAACACCTTTTCCCTCTGAGGGAAAGCAGTGGCAACAAGAAACCAGCATAATCGCTCCTCTCCTACCTGTCCGGGGAGCTCCAGACACCCACCCTGGGTTGAGGCTGAGGACGGTATCCTCCTACGCGCTTCCTGCGAATGTTTTCGTTCAATTAGTTCATTTAGGTGGCCCCATGCTTCACTGAGCATTAATTACACCTAATTGTGCCTGGCTGATGAATGGCAGATAAGCAGCGCTATTGGAATTTGGTAAATTCGCCGTCAGGCTGGCTTGCTGGCAACAGGGTACTCGACGTGCCCGTGTTTGGCTTGCACTGCCCCGCTGGGACTCGGGCCCAAAAGGCTGCCCCAGAGGAGCCTTCGGAGTTCTGCCTCGGAGCACGGCACACAAAGGAAGCATGCACCCCGGTTGTGCTCTGCTCCACCCTGTCGCCCATATAGCACCGGACAAACCCTCTAACAAAAACACACGTAGCAGCTAATTTAGGAACACTCATTTTCCTCCTTCGGGGAAAAAAAAAGAAAAGAAAACCACACAGACAGCAGACAAGCAAGACATCACACAACCAGGTTGTAAAATGAAGCACGACTATGTTTTATTCTGGTGTCCCCATCCGTGCCCGCACATGGAGCACACGCCCTTGTGCCAAAGCATTTGCCGCTGCGTGGAGCAGAGGCACCCGGCCAGGGGCTGCCCAGAAGGATGACGGGCCCAGAACCACGATTTCAACAGAAATAACCATTTGTACCACCATCAGATGCGGAGAAAAGGCTCGGCCGTGACGCCTGCCCACATTACTGCTGCTCAACGCAGCAGGGCTCAGGTCGGGAGGGGTTTTGTTAACACGAGCCCACCGGCACTCCTGTTAAGGCTTAACCCGTGAGGTCCAGCGCTTTGTTCTCCCTACCTGTGCAACATGCTGAACACCAACTAAAAACTCATACACACGAGTGGTCCAAACATAACACCACAACAGAGAAACAATCTGATGGCCATAGGGCAACCTGGGTGGGAAACAACACCTCGGAAGGTACAGGTAGCTGTAACAGCCTTTATTGCCACGTCTCCACGCTCGCTATAAAATAAAACCCTTTTTCCCCCCCGTAAGTGTATTGTGAATGACAAAATTAATCAGCAGCACAAACTGTGAGAAGAAACCGGTGGGCACCTGGAAGCCAAAGGTGTCCTGGTCCCTGGCCACCCCCAAGGG